GTTATAAACTACCATTATCAAAAAAAAAAAAAAAAAACCCCATTGTCCTCTACTAGTTCTTTGGTGCCACGTAGCCATAGATGTAAAATTCTGTCGAGAAAACAAACAAAACTTTGACTAAAAACTGTTTTTATATGCTTTTTGACGTTTTCTAAATCATTTTGAGATATCTATCAAAAAAAATCAATTCGAGAGAAAATTTTAATTTGAATAATATATAATAAGTCGATAATTAATAAATTCAAAACTAAATTTAACCTTAAAAGAGCTAAAAAACTTTAAATTTTGGTATATTTGTGTTAAAAAGAATAGAAGAAAGAGGGAGAGAGAAAGAGGAAGAGGAATGGAGGGGAATTGTATCCTCCCCTCTATTCCCTCTTCTCTTTTTTCCTCACTTAATAAATTAAAAGAAAAAAATAAAACAAATTCTTCTCTTATCATTTTTTTTATTTTTTTAATAATTAAATAGAAAATTTTTTTTTCCCTCCCCTCTTTTTTATTTTCCTTAATCCAAACATACTATTAGTATAACTACATATCAAAAACAAAAATGTGTGTGGCAACAATCACTAGTTTGGTTGTGCCAAAAATTTAAACTCATGTTACAAAAAAAAAAAGTAGAGTGTAGTTTATCTTATATAAATTGTACTTTATTTAATTATCAATAAAAAAAACAAGCTTTTTAATATTAAGATTCACTAATCCATTAACAACTAATTAAAAATAATGGAGTTCGCACAAGACAAATAGCATTTCAACAATCTCCCCATTTTATTCAAAAAAATCAATCGCACCATAACACTGAACTCATAAATGCAAGAATTGAGTCAACAAACATATATAATATATATGACTAGCTTGACACATGACGATGCAGTGCTGCCCTAATATTAACTATGCAGTAAGTGACAGCTGATTAAATTAGGAGTAAGGTGAGGCTGCAATTGATACAGATAGCGACTACATGCGCCGTATAAGTTAGCCAAAGAAAAACCACACCAAAGACTACTGCGGGATAGCCTCCACCTCCGTTCACAGAAACTCAGATGGAGCCCTAGTGGGAAAATTAAACCAATAATTTGCATTCAGAAGGAAAAACGTGTGCGGTGTATTACCATTTCTAAAAAATAAGAAAAAAACGTGTGCGGTGGCTAGAGAGAAACCATAAAGGCCATGTCCCACTGGCCACCCTCTAGATGCTAAAGTTGATGAAGGTCGATCACTGTCTTAGGGTTAGCATTATTTCATTTTCTGCGTTTCCACTTTGATGCTTTAAGCATCATCATTAATTATTTCTATCAAGAAAAAAGTATGGTCTAATCCAAGTGATATAATTTAAATTATTTAATGGGTCAATCCTCTTAATATTAGACTTGTTGTCCTATCTATTAATTTTTATTTTATAATTTAATATAATTTAGATAACAAAATAAAAAATTTTGTTTTTTATAATTTACATCCATGTTTCCATCCAAAATTGCAAGGGGTGAGCTTGTTTGGTTAATTTTGAATTAAATGCACTACGAGTTGAACCAAAATTTACAATTTGGCTTTAATAGAAATTTATTTTGGTTAGGGTTTGGTTAAGAGTTACGAAAAAACTTTCAGTAAATAGAATTGTTTGAGTTCAACTAGATAATAAAAATTTTAAGTAATTTGATTCAAAACTAGAATTTTACTTTAGAATTTTTGTGTCATATAAATTCAATTAATTTAGTTAACCGAACCAAATTAATTAAAAACTTTTTATTGAATCTATTTTCCGAACTAAAAATAAATATTGTTTGGTTTCAGGTGGAAAAAATCATTAATTGAAATTTGTCACTTTGAAATATTACTACCAAACATAACCTAACCTAACCTAACCAACTCCAACCCCTAGATATTACCACCAAAACCCAAAAAAATTTGCTGGAAAATCTGACAAAAACTTGTCAAGTCTAACAGTACAAACATTCAACCTAATGGGGAAAATCGGAGGTGAAATCATGACAATTATAGGTGAAATCATGGCAATTGTAATGTGGACAAATGCCTAAATTTGGAGTGGTTTGAATACTTTTTGATGGTCATGAACTGGACAGATACTGAAAACAAAATATTTGTTTTTAATCAGTTTTTGGCCTTTTGCTTGGGATGGACGCATGACTTGAATTAATATTTTGATTGAGACTCAACCTATGCTGATTCTGGAAATGGTCCTGAATGAACCCTGCCCATTTCTCACTCGGCCAAGAAATTAATGAGATACATGGAAAAGTTTGGTATAAGTCTTTGTTTTTGCAGATTTTATAGTCAATAATCAATACATTGGTCCTGCGGTTAAAGACATTTGGTCATCAGAGTCTTAGGTTCATATCTGTGATGGTCCAAATATATGGAAAATAAAAAAAAAAGGAGATGAAAGAGACGACTCATTCAATTAATCAAAGCAACATAAATAGGAAGGAGGGGCTAGTTTGGAGATCTAGGATGGGCCATTTTTTTTTATTTCTATTGGACATGGTCTTTATAAAGATGGGCTCCAGTGGGTTTCTCTTTAAATTGGGCATTTGAAAAACCCAAGACAACATGGTCAGTTGCAGAGTGTAAGGCATTGACTTGATTTTGACGTGTTAGACTACACAACCATGAGATTGTAGGCATTGCTACATGTGACGGACCTTCTCAGCCTTAACTGAAGTTCCATATCAAAACCAACAGCTGATACAACATTGAGAGTGCAAGTAAATTTACATGTTTATTTTCTAACAAACTAGCAGTTCATATCATACTAACAAGAGTCTATTCATGTTGGTATTTATTAATGACTAATAATAAAAACATTGATTTGAGGTCAAAATGGGGGTTTAAACATTTGCAATTGTAGAAAAAAGTTTGTCGGCTTAATAACCCAACAATTTAATGTAAATTTTTTTTACTATCATGATAAGGGTTCGATTTCTTTCCTCTGAATCACTTGTCTTAATAATAAAATAATAAAAACCATTTAAAATTGCAAAGTAGCTAATTGGCAGGTACCAAACATCAGTCATATCATGCCAGCATAGCTTGTCTAGTCTTAGTTCAATAGGCTACATAGAGTCTTCTACGATTCCATCTCTATAGGTTTTCTACATTTTACAAGAATGACAGTCTCTGTGCTAATCCTCATCGAGATGCGTCTTTGTAGGTTTTTGTGATGAAACTTGCTTCAAATGATAATTTGATTTTCTTGCTCTTTTCGTGGTTTCCTCAACTAGTCATCCTTGCTCTCAAAGGAAAATCTGATACCTCTCAACATGCACAAGAGGACGATGATGATTTCCCGAGCCAATTTGAAAGCAAACAAATCTAAGAAACCAAACCTCTGCAAAAACAATGGTCAAGCTGTCAAAAACAGCCTCCCTAGCAAATGTTTTAGCCAGGAACTTCCACACCATTCCTATCAAATGTCCAAATGGAGGGCGGGTGCAGAATGAAGTTTTTCAATTTTATCCATTTTCTGGCTTCATAGCTCTTGATTCTCCTCTTGGTTTCATCTTTCATCACGAGTACTTCATCCCTTTTACTTCATGACTAACTAGCAGCTCAAGAAAATTTTTTTACCACTCAATTTTGTCTTGCAAAATAATTGAGTAATACTCACCCCAAAGCCTGCTGATCTATGATTGGGGTTTGTAGTGTTGCTTTTCCAAACACTGCTATTCATCATGAAGCATTAGAGATGGGCACCTTTATTCCACTTGAACATGGCAGCCCAATAACAAAAGGACATTTCTTGATGATATCATGGGAAATTCTGTAATACAAAGAACTGCACATTGAATAGAATTATCTGTCAGGATTATTTTTCATATTTTTACAATATATTTTACAGTATTGTCAGTCACGAACCACTGACAAAACATACCTAGAGGGTAACTCTGCCTAAGGTAACTGAGGCAGTACCATCAGAGTTCATCCCGATACTATCACCATGAGACCTCATCTGGAAGTAATAAAGCCTTCCAGATTTTTGCCACTGACTCTTACCCTAATGAACCAAAATAAACAGATAAAGACTTCAATTATTCATCGAGTAAGATAAATCTCAAGTTATGTAAAACTATCAAAAAAAAAAAAAAAACCATAACACAGAATCAAAAGATCATAATAGCCTCATTGCCAATAACTTCATGGCCACTTTTAAAACCAAGGATGCCACACTGATTAAACCTTATGAGGAATCAAAGATTTACAGTAAGTTCATCAAAACAGTTACCATAGTACACACACAAGAAATAAATACTTTAAAATTGTTGTTTGTTTAGAGAAGTGGAAATTTTAGATCTATTAGGTAGCAAAATCCCCAATGGTCCTAGCAATATGATGGCAAATGTATGTTTTATTGAAGAATGAATGTAGCCATGTGTAGGGATAGAAAAATATACATACATGTTCTATTGGTAGATTACTGATCTGACATCAAAACATTATTAGCTTTGCTATCAACATCATCTTCCTTTCCATCATCTTCTTGATCTAGCTCATCACTCATGGCCAACATTTTCAGGTAGCCAACACTCAATCTGCTTTTGATGGAGTGGGAGATCTAACTTGTTTGTTGTTCCACAGATTGATACTGCTGGAACCTAGGATCAGAAGGATGGTTCTGTAAACAAGAAAACAATAGTCATCATGGAGGATGTAATGGCCCTTGGTCTTCTCAGTGGAAAAAATATCCTGGATCATTTTTCTAGTTGACAGGAAAGGTATTGAAAACTCCATACATATCAGGTAAAAAAGTTTCACCAGACTTTCAGATAATGGTCAAAAGTTAAATAGAAAGTACCAAAAGGAATAGCAAATTGCAAAAAGAAAATATAACAAAGAAACTATTAGAGGGCAACCAACAGATATGACAGATAGAATTAAACAAACAAAATCATCAGCAAGGAAGAAACCTGGATGTAGATAATGGCTCGAGAAGAACCGGCCTGTTCACAATGCTGATACAAATCCTGATGGATTAGTCATTTTATATTGAAGGCAACACTGAAACCGACGCTTATCAAAAAGGCAAAGGAGACAGGAAAGGCAAGAAAAGTGAGGGGAATCTGTCAATGCGCTGGCTTTCTATTCATTGCAGCAGTTATCAAATTTGTATTTTCCTTTGTAGGAATGTTAATAATAAGAGTCTGGTATTTTGCATTTTGGACTGTAAAACACCAGCCATTGAATGGAGTGGCTCTCCCCCAATATCAGGGGGCTCCTCTTAATCCAATGGCTAGTGTTTTGCATTCTGGACTGCAAAACATTTGCCATTGGATGGAGTGGCCCTCCCCCAATATCAGGTGGGCCCCTCTTAATCCAATGGTTAGTGATTTCCAGTCCAAATTGCAAAACACTTATTTGTAATAATAATTATCTAAAAACAGATTATATCCACCTAATCACCACATATAGACACATGGTAATAACAATGTAATAGTTTTTCTAGAAATATACACATTGAAATAGGTTCACCAATAGGTCCTAACTGATGAAGCCTTGAAGTTGAAGAAGGACCAGTTAACAACTGAAGAGGTAGAGTTACCCCAAATTTTCACGAAGAAAGTAATATGGGAAAAGGGGTGTGGGACTTCAGGATGCTTCTAAGATGGGATTTATTTTTCTGCTTTATTTTTATTATTGTTGCTAAATGGTCATCTCACTAAACATCAATTAGCACCAAATTCATCAATAATTCATTGAGTAAACAAACAAACCAATCCAAGGCCTTATTCATTCGCAAACACAAGAATTCCTTATGTATCTATGATTCACTATGATAAATTATTTTGCAAGCTTATTTGAAATTTAATGGGGAAATTTTTCTTAAGCAGGCTGCCATAATCCACAACAGTAAAATTAATGAAATTGTACCACCTCAAAAACTATTTTTCTCTCTCACATAGATATATTCATTATCTAAGTAGCCCAATGGTATAATGTATTTCTGATAAAAGTAAGATTTTTTGAATTTGAGTTGCATAATATATGGGTGGGATAAGTTTAGGAATGTGAGAAAGTTGTTTCATATTACACAACCCAAGACAAAAAGAAAAAAATGTTTATGAAATTTGTCACAATAAACCTCAAGGGTCTCAATTAATAAAAATGTGATATTTCAAGTTGAAAGTTCCTAGTTTAAACCTTAAAACGAGTGAAATTGAGAAATGAGCTGATATTCTCTACCCATCATAAAATCTACGACAATAATTTTCTTGAAGATTCATAGTTACTAAATCTCATTATCAGCAATGATGCCATAAAATTCAACATGAATTACAGAATGTATACACTCCTATGATCATATGAGTCTAGATTTTAAGATTCAGAGGCTTTAATTCCTCTATTCAAACCAAAAATCAAGAAACCCTAACCTGAAAGTCGGAGTCTTTACAATGCAAATCATCTTGTTGCCGTTACCATCCTTTGGTTGCCGCCAAATGTTAGGGTCAGATTATTAATTAAAAAAAAAAAAAACCATGGCTGCAAAATGGGCCGCAGTAACCACATTGCCCAACCGAGATTTTCGGGCTCGGTTACTGAACTGTACCACCTGTTAGAGCCCAAACCCGAAGATATTCTTTTTTTTTTCCCTTTTTATTGTGAAAACCCAAAGAAATTTTTTGATTCCCATAAGCGGGATTTCATCCATTAATGTAGTAACACGTTAGTATATATGGTCTATATTTATAATTAAATAATTGATAGTAAATTTATATAAATTAATCCTTTTAATTATAATTTCAAATTATATATGTTGACGAGTCATTATATTAATTAACGGAAATACAATTGACATGGTATTTAATTATATGGAAGAATTTTTTAAAATTACGGTCTCATTCTGTTTGTCTTTATTTATTTATTCATTTTTGAGTAAATAAGTTTGCCCTTAATAGAGCTCAGCTCAAAATCGAACCCAATTGTTCGGTTCATGTTTGCTTTGAACACAGATACATTAGACAAACGGAAATTAGTACACACACACAATAGACATTTTTGGTCCGTTAAGTGTAGCGACCCTTTTTTTTTTTTTTTTTTTTGGTCGAACCATATAAATAATGTAAATTGTGAGTATAATGTTACATATACAAGACAAAATCAGTTCTATCAAACAGTTTCAATTCTAGGCTCAATCAACCTTTCACTTGACATTCAGTTTTTGAACTCAAAATCAACTCGGAGTGGTGATATGATCCTGATGCTACCCTATATAATCTTCCTGGTGCCACGACATGCTCCTTCGCCAACCATCCAGCAGCAGCCAACCCCAAACCTGGAAAACCTGTTATCTCTCATATATCAAGCCCTTTCTCCTTATGAGGTAGCTGTATTCATGCCATGGTATTTTATGGAGAGCACCTTATCATACAGCAAAAAATCTGGAATTTGAACATTAAAATGTCAGATCTATAAGGAAGAAATTGTGACATGAAATTTGTACAAGATAATGTTAAGAGGCTTGTAATTAAAGAATGAATAGACTGTAGTGTGAAGGGTCAGTGAGAACCACATACATGGTCATTTGGTAGATCACTGATCTGACTTTAGAAGCTTATCAAACTCACTATCATCATTGTTGTCGTTGTCGTCATCTCCATATCCATCTTTGTCTTCATCAACCTCAATACTCACGGTTAACTTTTCCAGGAAAGCAAAGCACATACTGCTTCTGTTGGAGTAGCAGATGGAACTTGGTTGTTTGTGTTTCTCAACTTTATGTAACATGAATCTAGGATTTGAAGGATAATTCTGCAAATTAGAATATAATACACATTATTGAGGATGCAATGGCCTTGGTCTTCTAAATTTATGTCACAAGGCGCTAAACAACGGACAGTTGAGGAAAATCCTAACTGAACTCCAGGTATATGCACATGGAATTTTCATCAGACTATGAGACAATTGTAAGAGAATAGCCATTAACAATAATAACGAAGAAAAACTTCATGAAAGCAGTGAAAGCCTGTGGAGCTGAGACCATCACCAAAATAATTTGAAAAAAAAAATGAAAGATGAGACAAATCTGAAAATAGTGAAAAGATTACACCAGAAAAGACTAACAGAACTATGAAGAGATATAACATATAGAATTATGCTACACCAAAATAACCAGACAGGAAGAAACCTGCATATTGACAATGGCTGAAGAAGAAGCGAATTGTTCACAATATTGGTACAAGAGCAATACTCCTGATAGACTAGTGATTTTATATTGAAGATGGCGATGAAACTGATGCAGATGAAAAAGGAAAAGAAGAAGAAATGGCAAGAAAAGCATGGCGAATCTGGCAATGCGTTGGCTTTTGTTCATTCATACGTTATCAAATTTGTATTTTCCTTTGAAATAATGGTAAAACATTAATTATGGTCTAAAAACAGATTATTTCCAGCAAAACACAGAAGGATGGACACGAGGTAAGTGTGAAATAGGTTCATTAGGTGTAGAGAGACAGTAAATATGTTCCCTAGAGTGTCCAAATTGACTGAACCATAAGGTAAAAAGATGAACTAATCCTTCCTGGAAATGGAAGGTGCACTAGGAAAGGGATAAAGAACTGTCATCAAAATTCAGAAACGTGGTTTTATGTAAGTGTCGGTAAATATTTATCTATTCTAGAAGGCAATTAGACAAAGGAGAAGGAAAATGCAAAAAACCAAGGGGAATCTGGCAATGAATTGGCTTCTATTCTATTCATTACTGTGGTTATCCAATTTTTATTTTCCTTGGTAAGAATGATAACATTAATGATGATGCTGTAAAAGTAGATTATTTTCCCCTAATCACCAAAGATAAACACACAATAACATTGTGAAATATGTTCGCTAGATCTACACACGTTAGCTATGAAATAGGTTACTAGATGGTCCAAATTGATGAAACTATAAGGTCTAAAGATGTGTGGACCGCTCTTTCTCATAGAAATACACACTGATAATCAGCCGAATTCGCACAAAGGAAATTATTATGGGAGA